TATCTATCTATCTATCTATCTATCTATCTATCTATCTATCTATCTATCTATCTATATGATCGATCGATTGCTTCTCTCCTCCACTATCTCTGTTGTCTGAACTACCATCTTACCCGAGGCTGTCTCAGAGGAGCCCTTACTCCCGATCCCACTGGATGATCCACTGGCTGCCCTCTGTCCAGCTTTCGGGTCATCCTTGTGGTGGTCAATGCCAGGTTCATTCTTGTCTCCCTTGTCCGTGTCCTGACCAGTCGTGTGTGACGTCATGGTGGACTCTTGTGGCGTAACTCCATCTCCTGAGTTAGTTTTTGACGTCACTTCCTCTATGGTAAACAACTCACCGCCTTTGTCTCCCCTTTTGACGGGAGTTGTCTTCTCTCTGTCGGTGGCTTGAATGCTGTCGTTGCCGCTGTTGTTGTTGCTGTTGCTGTTGCTGTTGTTGTTAGAGCTGGGTTCTTTGTTCGGTGTCTGGGTCGACATTGTTGCAGTCGGATCCAATACGTCAAGATGTGGAAAAAGAAGACAGTAAGCAGTTAGAGTGTACTGGATACGTATATAACTTGGGCGTATATCACCGTCGCCATTTCTGTGCTTGTTTCGTAGCTTTGTACTTTGGAAAGGTTTGTTTCGTTCCTTTGTACAAGCTGAAGTGTTGGTTTGTAGAAGATTCAGCGCAGATGTAACGTAGACAGGTTGAAGTTTGAAGTCCTTTATCTATGTTGAAGAGCCAAGTCGTCGTTTACTTAGAACGTACACTACACACTAACGCCCAACTCAATTCTATCTACTTAAAAAGTTGAAATGTTTCTCTTTGCCGAACAAATAAACCATCACACAAACTGTAGCCACAAAACACATTTATGGGCGCTAAGAAAGTTGAAACTATCTGAAGACACATTAACGTTGATACAGCCATTTGTTTTCATGAAGCGACCAACACGGGGAAAAGCATGTTGGTGTCATAAAAGAGCGTCCAGCACCTCCAACAATCAGACGATTTGATTGACTTACTCGAGAAGAGTTTCCGGGAGGAAGAAAAGCACTCCAATTCACTTCTCACCTTCACAACGGGGAGAGCTATTTACAATTGCATTATCAAAAAGATCACAGCAATCAATATCAAGCCGCTATCTCAGCGAGATTGCACTGCATTAGCTAGCAGAACGCTGCGTCGTAGAACTCTTTGAAGTGCATCCAGTGTTTTATGTCACTGTCGATACCCAGAAAACGCTACACCCATCGGTAATATTCCAAAGTGTACATACTGAAAATGTAATCCACAATATTCATAAATTCACTTTTTTTAAAACAGAAACCCTCGAAGGATCTAAAGGAATATCCTTTTCCTAAAGATCACGTTCCACAAACATTGAAAATGTTACTGTTGTATCCAGAATCCCATTAGTATCTTTCTATTGAAATATCATACTCCACTTGAACACTTTCAAAAAGGACACGAGTCTTCTGTGGGTATCCTTCCTTCCTTTCTTCCCTTCTACATCTCCTTTCCTCCTTTATCTTCTCCTCTCATGACTTCAAAGTAAGACAAAACAGAAGAAATTGAAGCAGTTGTAATCACAGCAGGGTTTCAGTATCGGCTAACTGTTTACAAAACTCACACAATCACACTATTTTACATGAATGGCGAATTATGTTGACTTTTTCCCCTGAAATTACTTGAAGGTAGAAGCTTTCTTGTCCAAATAAAGAATCAGAACTGAGTGAAGTTACGTTACAGAAATCTAAATCTTTTACAACATTTCCTATGTAAGACAAAAACTCATGAAATTAGGCTGGTGTTATTCAGGCAAAGGTATATCTGAAGACACAAATATACATATAAGAGCTATAAATGATCCATCAGCGAACGGGTGCAATTGCGAGGGATTGACAGTTATGTTAGATCATGCCACAGAAATAGCTCAGCTACCCCACAAGTCGCCAACACAACAAGGGAGCCGATGAGCAGCATTTTCCAATCAACGACGAATGAAACAGTAACGGTTTGCTCTGAAGCAGTACTTCCTTTTCCTTTCGTCCGTTCCCTTAATTTTTTTATTTAATTCTAATTGCCTTTCAGTGACAAATAGTTTATGCAAAGAGCTAGAATATCCTCTTCACGGCCATTTCCGACGGAGTGATGTGAAGATGTGAAGAACTCTCTTTACAAGCAGGTTTCAGAAAGAATTAAACCCGGGTCGTTCGCACTGTAGCTTTGCATTGCTCCCTCCCCGGTGATGACGTGTGAGGAGTGGGCGTATCACGTGATTCCGATCATGTAGTTCTTGCGACCGGCTCAAGTAGCAGACGTGATAACTCCTGCTGTCGTCCGAACAATGGCTCAATAATCTGGAGGAGAAAACAAAAGAAAAAGAAATAGATAATTCACGGAAACATTTAAAAGGAAATGAAAGATTTGATCTGTTAAAATCAAACAATATTAAATGTACGTGTTTTTACTCTCCCATTGACACAATTTCGATCGCTTCGGAGGCTGGCTTCGATTCTGCCTTGCGGGGGCAACCTGGCCTGGCAGGGATACAAACAACGTCCCAGCAGACAGACCTAGATACTCGACAAAAACTCTCCCCACATGGGAAACGTAATCGGGGTTATTACGTGCGAAAACGAAGCTTCTGTCATACATCATAAGCTTGTGATTTGATCTCAGATTATTTTTGTTTGAGTTAAGTGAAGCAAATCGATACAATGAGTGTTATTCTGTGCTGGGAAAGAATAAAGCAGACAAACGGACAAAAACATCCTAGGGATGAGAAGGATGTAGGACCTACCAGAAGTGCCTTTCAACCACCTGGTTTTGGCGTACCAAAGAAAATTGTGGCTCTTGGGTTGTAACAGTAAAGTTTCGTGTTTCTAGGCTTATAGGAGCAAAATCAATTTTGCTATACGTAAGTGCGGGGTTTCGTTGTCGGCAG